ATATATATATATATAGTCGTGAAAAATGTTACGTTTTTTTGATTGAGATCATGAGTCGATTGATGTTGGACTACCATTGAAAAAATGGAAGCACTGGATGGCAGATTCGTCCTAGAGTAGGACTCTTCAACAGTGCGCGCCCACCATTCAGTTCATGGGATCCGAACCCAGGACCTCCGGTCTCGCGCGTGAACGCTTAACCTCTAGACCACCGAACCGGAGTCTAACTTCAAACAATCCACAAGACTGCGGGACCATCTTCCACTGTTTGAAGTAAATACCTGTCTCTACCTGACACGGATTAGCTACACTGGTGAGGTACATCCAGCAGAAGAGTCCCAAATTGGACGAAAAGCGCGTCATGGACTCCGCTGCTAGCCACCACCCATCTTTGCTTATAGAGCCTGTGACATAAAACAATATCAAGGCAGTCGGCATACATGCAAAAAGGAGACTGATCAACTGAAGTCCTAAACAATGAGAAGATACAAGCGAACAATACCATATATATATAGCAACTAGATCACATTTCATTTATCATAGGCTTTCAATTTACCTGTTACCTATTATTATGAGCCTTACTATTCTTACGTTATTCTCAATCTATTAGTTAGTCTCTCACATTGATAGCCACCTTTGGTTTGATCTTGTATAGTCGTTATCTATTACACGGTGTGACGCAGTCTCGTCTGTTTATATATACACTACGTGTATCTGAATCATATTGTTCATACAATGGAGGCTGAGGTTGCGTTCTGGACTAAACAGGTAGGACCAGACGAGAGGGTTAATAAGGATTCGGAGTTGACGCAAGGTTGCTAGTTGACCACAAGAACAAGGTCATATAAGGCGGTATTCTGATTGTCGATTTTATCATTTGATGCTTGACAGGGGCAACAGCCATAACAAGCAACAATCAAATAGCTACGTAGATGAGGAGATACAACTTGGTGGTGTTCGAAATAATTGTAACCCATTGGACCCAAGCTGAACGAAAAAGATTACAATCGGGAGACATGGTGTTGTACCTTGGTCACAAAGAAGAAAATGCTTCGCACACCCAGAAAATTGCTCTGATTATGTCATTTGAAGCACGAAAAACACTTGTAGGTTGGGAATCTAATAAATCTAGGATAATCAAAGCATTCTTGAAAACAAAGAAAAGAAAACCCAATGCGAGTTGTCCAATGCTATGCACCCGCCAATGATAACAACGACGACGATGAAGTCCAGTTTTACGAGAGGCTGAAATCACTTACGGTGAAGTTCCCAGGAAAGGACGTGACCATCTTGACGAGAGACCTGAACGCCAAAACCGGGAAGGACAACACTTGGTATGAACATATCACAGGATGACATGGACTATGAGACGGGAACGAGAATGGACAGAGAAGTGCAAATTTATTTGCATTCAACAAAATGTACGACGCTGATTTGGCACTTATTTTTTCGGTATATTATTACAGAAAGTACTTACTTACCTATGCCTGTTACCCCTCGTAGAGAAGCATAGGCCGCCCACCAGCATTCTCTATCCAACCTTATCCTGGGAAATCCTTTTCAATTCTTTCCAGTTGCTATCCATCCTTTTCATATCTGCTTCTATTTCCCGGGTAATGTGTTCATTGGCCTTCCTCTTTTCCGCTTCCCTTCAGGATTCCAAGTGAGGGCTTGCCTCGTGATGCAGTTTGATGATTTCCTCAATGTATGTCCGATCCACTTCCAACGTCTTTTCCTGATTTCCTCTTTCTTCAATTGTAAGAATGCGGCCCTTGCTTTGCCAATCCTCGCCTTTACGTCTGCATCAGATCCTCCTTGTTCATCAATGATGCTTCCCGGGTACGTTAATGTTTCCACATCTTCCAGAGTTTCTCCACCAAGTGTGATTGGTTTGGCGTTACCCGTGCTGTATTTGAGAATCTTGCTTTTACTTTTGTGTATGTTGAGGCCTATTGATGCAGAGGCCACTGCTACATTAGTTGTCTTCACCTGCATTTGTTTCTGTTTATGAGATAAAAGAGCTAGGTCATATGCGAAGTCCAAATCGTCTAATTGATTCTCAGATGTCCATTGTATTCCGTGCTTCCTCTCAGATGTCGAGGTCTTCATAATCCAGTCAACTACCAGAAGAAAGAGGAAGAGGGAGAATAGACAGCCTTGTCTGACTCCGGTTCTAACTGGAAATGCAACTGTCAGCTGTCCTCCACGCACCACTTTGCACTGTAGTCCGTCGTATGAGTTCTGGATAATGTTAATAATCTTCTCAGGAACTTCATAGTGTCGAAGAAGTTTCCATGATGTTCTCCTATGTACACTGTCAAACGCCTTCTTAAAGTCGATAAAGTTGATGCATAGTGACGAGTCCCACTCAATTGATTGTTCCACAATGATCCGTAGTGTCGCAATTTGGTCTGTGCACGACGCATCCTTGCGGAATCCAGCCTGTTGATCTCGGAGTTGGGCGTCTACTGCGTCTTTCATCCGGTTCAGCAACACTTTATTGGAAACTTCTCCTGGAACTGACAACAATGTGATGCCTCTGTAATTCTCACATTTGTTCAGATCTCCTTTCCTTAGTATCTTGATGAAGTGTCCTTCTTTCTAGTCCGTTGGCACTTGTTCTTTTTCCCAAATCTTCTTGATTAGAAGATGAAGCATGTTTGCAGTTACTTCAATGTCTGACTTCAGTGCTTCAGCTGGTATATTGTCAGGTCCTGCCGCTTTCACACTCTTTATTTGTCTGATGTCCATCTTGATTTCTTCGATCGTTGGTGTAGTGACATCTATAGGAAGGTTTGTGTGTGCTGTTTCGATGTCTGGTGGATTTATTGGGGCTAGTGTATTCAGCGGTTCCTCGAAGTATTTTACTCATCTTTTCTTCTGTTCTTGAATCTCCGTGATTGTCTTTCCTTCTTTGTCCTCGACTGGTCTCTCCAGTTTACTATATCTCCCTGCTAGTTTCTTCGTTGTATCATATAGTTGTTTCACATTCCCTTCTCTTGCAGCTTTTTCCGCTGTCGTTGCTAGTTCTCCCATCTATTTCTGCTTGTTGGCTTTAATGCTCTTCTTCACTTGCTTGTTTGCTTCTGTGTACTCTGCTTGTGCCTTGACTTCCTCTGACCGTGTTTGACTGTTGCTAATTGCTATTTTCTTGTTCTTTCTTTCTTCAATCTTGTCCAGAGTTCCCATAGAGATCCATTCCTCATGATGATGCTTCTTGCGACCCAGAACCTCCTGGCATGTTGAAGTTAATGTTTCTTTGATCCCTTTCCAGTTGTCCTCCATCGTAGTTTCTTCTTTCAGTAGATCCTGTAGAGCTTGGAGCTTGTTGTTGAGAGTTATCTTGAATTCGTTGAGTTTGTTAGTATCTCAAAGGAAGGCTGTATGAAACTTTTGCACTTCTGTTTGTCCAGTTATCCAGTGTTTCTTTAGCTTCAGTTTCATCTTGGCCACAACCAGGTAGTGATCTGAAGCAATTTTAGCTCCTCTAATGGTTCTCATATCTTCTATTGTCCTTCGAAATTTTTTGTTGATACAAATATGATCTATCTGTTTCTCAGTGGTGTGGTCCTGTAAGATCCATGTAACTTTGTGTATGCGTTTGTGTGGAAAAATTGTGCCGCCTATAACCAATTTGTTCAATGCATATAGATTTGCGAATTTCTCTCCATTTTCATTTCTCCCAGGACTATAAGAATGCTATAGGGATTCAAAGCGGGAGAGAGAGCTCAAGGTCATGTCCTGAAACAGCTTTGAAAGTCATTTGTGGTAAATACACAGATTATGAGAATGAACAAATATTTAATGCATGTATTATTGAAACTATTTACAAAATAAGTTTGTCCTGCTGATCTCCATAACAACACTTTAGCAATAATTATGCCCTAGAAATGCCCTCTACTTCGGTTATACAAACCACTACACACACTAAACCATTGAAGAACTCCATGATTTTGGTCTGTTAAATAACCTTCATATAGGCAGATCCATGTGACCTGATAAAATGCATTCTAGGTTTACAGAGGAATTAGCAAATTTTGCCACATATCTCTCCACCATATGTTTTAGTCTATCTGTAACCCGGGATCGATTACTAAAGGACTAGATGAATGCTATAATAAGTACTATCTCCAAACCAAGTGCGAGACAAGAACATGAGAACTAGTACCCGTAAGGAAAGTAATATATTTGTAATATCCCGATGAGTAGAAAATTAGATTTTATACTTATAGTGAATAACACTGACCTACCTGTTGTCCAGACATGCAATGATTTAGGAGTCATCGTTAGCCAGGACTTAAAAATTACCGCACACTGCCGTGCGATAGCTGACAAATGTTTTAGAACCCTATGGCTTCTACGTAGGACCTTTAGCCATGTCGATGCCAAAACACTTTTGACTTTGTATACAGTATTCATTAGTACTAACCTCGAGTACTACATACAAACAGTTATCCCCTGTCTATAAAGAGACTGTGAACCGTTGAAAAAGATTCGAAGGTTCACAAATAAGCTGATTCCCGTAATAGGAAATCCAATACAAATCGCGCGAATCTGAGCATCTTAATTCGATAAAAGTTTGAAACATCGGTGAAATTGAATCTAGAAAATGATCAACTTATATAACTGTTATCTATACAAATAACTATGAGACTATAAAGATTTTGTCAGATAGATTAATTTCAAATCCGTTCCTAGATTTGTACATGCAGTCAAGTTGCGAAGCAATAAGATAAAACAAGATACTCATCATCACTTACTGGATCTACTATTTAATAACTCTGCTAATTATTATCTGTTTTAGTATAAGACAATACCTACTCTCTCGTTTAGGCGTGATAAACAACCAATGCTGATTTCACCAAGTCAAATTATGTGGACTTAATTTAAGAAATTCAAATTTATTTAGTCTGATCACACCTAGCATCTTCAGATCCTAAATCGACGATAAAACTGGAACATTCTGATAATCAATAAATGAAAGAAACCCAGACTCATAGTAGGTGACTCTCTTTTTCCAGCCGTTTACTAGATCCAAGTACCGATAAACCTCAATTTTCTAGCATAAATATGAAAAATCGGAGGGATGGAATATTACATTAAATGAACACAAAATAACAAAAGTACAAATGTTAATAGATCATAAATTATTATTCTGAGTGATTTAAATTGGCAGAATTTGTGGGAGACTCAGTTAATGCAGTACTATTAGAAAGTAAATCACCTTGATTAGTTTCGATTCCACCATAAACCTCACTAAAACTAGGTACTGAACTTGTAACTATGAAAATATTGTTAGGTAATTCATTTGGCTCGAGATTGCCTGAGTCCTCGACAGTAGTTGTTAAGTCACCTGACGACTCTGCTTGTTCATGAGAGTTGATAGAACGGTTTAGATTGGAAGCATCCTGACTATTTCGGACAGATAATGATGGTGTAGAAACCTGTAGATGAATTTGACCTACAACGTGATTATTAGAAACGAATTCACGGAGTTCCCAATCACTAAGCAGGTTAGGTAATTCGTAGTGATGGAAGAAATAAATCATTGAATGCAATATAAATAGCCAGGAAACCCAAAGAGCAACACCACTGAATTGCCCATTGAAACGATAATGGTAGGCATAAAACCCAAAATGATACAAGTAAAAGTATCTGATAAAATTAAAAAAATCAATACGAATAAATGTAAGACAGAGCAAAATCCAGAAATCAACTCCTAAAAATAAAGTGAAAAAACACTTAGTATTATACTGAATATGTAACTTGAAGATTACCTAAGTTTCTATAGGCTTTTGTGAGAAGTGAAAATAGGTATTTAGGTTACTATAATCGCTAATCAGAATATGTACAGCGCGATACAACTTAGGCCTGTTTCACTAGATAAATACTCATGAATTCACCTGTTGAATCTGATTATTATACAAACTCCACAGTCCTTACCTGCACCAATAATAGATTCACAGAATTCCCCTTAAATATTGTTTAAAGAAAAACATTAACTAGATGGGGAATTGGAGGTAGAGTTATCAGAAGCAATAAGCAACAGTATGTTCATAAAAAAGATGGTGCTATCTCATTAACAATATCCTATATTTTCATACTCAGATCACGTTACAATGAAGGTCATTTACAAATACATCCACCATCATATTTTAAAGCACAAGCGGAGCTATAAATCTCGTACATAAATAAGGTATGACGTTAAAACGAAGACAGGTTCATTTGATGGGACTTTAGATCTACTTAGCCAGGAACGAAACGCATTTTTTGTAGGGAGTTTCCTGAATGACACAACACATGATTCAGTGATTTACAAACCTAAAGATTCATAACCTGAATATTTCTCCCTAATCATCATACATTACTCGACATTGTGAAAATACTACAAGTGACAGGGAGAATACAGAGATCCAGAAAATCAAAAACATATTTGCTGTTTCTCAAGATTTTGTCGTTTTTAAGTTTCTAAGCCTAAAAAGGACCGAATCTATCAGTCATCATTTATAAATACTACGATGAATTATTTGTAATATTCTGAACACATATAAAATTGTAGAGTGGGTGCGAAAGAAAAAAGACGTCAACTCAGTTGTTTAAATCGTCGTCAAAAATAGACGAAACATTAATCTTCTTTTCTTCTGATTATGGAACGCTTTAGGTACGCAAGAACTGCTAATTAGACTGAAAATGAAAGTGATGTAACATTATCCAAATATTAATAAAATGAAAGTCAGAAACCAAACGAAGCTGTCTATAGAGCAAACATTCAGATGAAGATTATCTATATGCGCAGCGAAATGTAGAAATTCACTAACCTTGGCCAATATCGTTTGCTCAACTCAGTACGACAAAATACAGCTTCATAGTGATCACAAACGCTTATGATGAGAATAACATAAAACGCAGTGATTGAGTCTCCAAAAAATTCAGACATGATAGTTTCCATGGCTGGAAATTATAAACAATTGGTAGGCATTGCGTTAGGATGGAAAACAGACTTGCTACATCACAATAAATGTTAACAATAAATATTTAGAAATATCGGTGCGAAATCGATCAAAAAAAATTAAGGTAAATAATAAGTAAACGTTACACCACCAGACTGAATTTTGACCATGATCGAAGTCATCAGCTAATTAACTCTATAGTGCTCTGCACCCAATAAATGCAAGAAACTGAAATATTATGAGTGACTGAGGACTGTAGTACTGGAAACAAAAGTATGCAAATCAATGTGAGCCAATAAAATCCGATAAAAATTTGGTGACTTTATTGCAACAAGCTGATATGTTAATCACAACTAAATTTACAAGCCCCAACCAAGATGAAATTAAAAGTTGTAGAGTCAAAGGATAGCTAATTAGTAGACCGACACATCTTGTTTAACAGTAATACTGCGTGATTGTACTAATAAAGTAAATATAGCTGAATTATTTCATAAGGAAAAATATAGCACATAGAAGAGGTTACAATATACCGTCCCAACCATTAACGAGTCACAAACTTAATTAATCATGGGTATCAGTCATTTTTGAAGTATAATACAAACATAGCTCACGATAACTTGAAAAGTTCATTGGTAAAAAAGTGTATTAATCCGTGAAGGTGACGACATTGTTATAATGATGATTCACACTGTTTTCTTCTGACCACACATGTTGTTATCAAAACAACTTAGAAGCACTATTATTCAATAGTTACAACAGTTATATAGAAATATTATAAAACAAGAATTTAAAGAACCTTATCTATAATACATAACTTACCAACAAGAGCTAGAATAACTGTCATAAATGGGGCAACAGGGATCCCAAACGAAGTATTCGTTTCAAACATTTGGAGAATATCAGCTGAAACACAAGTACCGGAAGATAAAATTAGAGGAGAAACAAATAAAGTTCTCATTTGTGTGCATATTCACGAATTTTATCGAAACACCTTTATATTCATATGGAACACTGAGTAACGACTCAACTAACGAGTAAAAAAGCGAATAGCTAATTAACAGAAGTTAATTTTTATCTAACTGGACAAATAGCCTCTTAAAATTGGAAGGATGCTTTAACAGAAAACATCTGATGTTTCTGTTGACGACTGTTTTTAGACATTAAACACGCTTGTTTTGAGTAAATTATGTAAATATTCTGTGTTAATATCAGTAAAAACGATAACAATATACCTAGGAACTATCAAAACTAAGGCAATATGTTTGTTATTTAGAATGGGAGTGAGCTAATTTATTATAAAACAATTAATTGTCATAAAACCACACTGGCAAAGAAATACAGAGGAACAAGTTTTTAAAAAAACTCCGCCTGTAGCTCTTCTAGAGTTACTGCCGGTCCGAAGCCCACAAAAAGGAGGAGGGTTGGGCATGGGATTAGTGGCCCCATTCCGCAGAAAACTAACTCGCTAAAAAACACTAACCAGAAAAAATAATTCAAATCATTTAAACTCTGCCCTGGGAGTTGAAAGAAGAATTATTACGCCTCAGGATGAAAGCCAAGTTCCTTCAGAAGCCTTAAGACCAGATAAACAATTTTTATAGGCACATGGAACGTCCGGACAATGTGGGATACTGGGAAAACCAGTCAAATAGCAACGGAAATGAGGAGATACAAATTGTCAGTACTCTGAATCAGCGAAACCCATTGGACGGAAGCTGGACAGCAAAGGCTAGGTACAGGAGAGATGCTGCTGTACTCCGGTCACGTAGGGGAAAATGTTCCACACACTCAGAAAGTTGCTTTAATGCTGTCCAGAGAAGCACGAAATGCATTTTGTAGGATGGGAATCTGACGGATCCAGGATAATCAAAGCATCATTCAGAACAAAGAAGGAGGGGATCACAATGAACTTTATCCAATGTTATGCACCCATCAATGATAACAACGGCGAAGATAAAGATCATTTCTACTCGAGGCTGCAATCAATCATAGCTAAGTGCCCAAGAAAGGACCTCACCATCCTGATGGGAGATATAAACGCCAGAGTCGGAGTGGACAACACAGGATATGAAGACATCATAGGACGACATGCACTGAGTGAGAGAAATGAAAATGGAGAGAAATTCGCAAATCTATATGCATTGAACAAGTTGGTTATAGGCGGCACAATTTTTCCACACAAACGCATACACAAAGCTACATGGATCTTACAGGATCACACCACTGAGAAACAGATAGATCATATTTGTATCAACAAAAAATTTCGAAGGACAATAGAAGATATGAGAACCATTAGAGAAGCTAAAATTGCTTCAGTTCACCACCTGGTTGTGGCCAAGATGAAACTGAAGCTAAAGAAACACTGGATAACTGGACAAACAGAAGTGCAAAAGTTTCATACAGCCTTCCTTCGAGATACTAACAAACTCAACGAATTCAAGATAACTGTCAACAACAAGCTCCAAGCTCTACAGGATCTACTGAAAGAAGAAACTACGATGGAGGACAACTGGAAAGGGATCAAAGAAACATTAACTTCAACATGCCAGGAGGTTCTGGGTCGCAAGAAGCATCATCATGAGGAATGGATCTCTATGGGAACTCTGGACAAGATTGAAGAAAGAAAGAACAAGAAAATAGCAATTAGCAACAGTCAAACACGGTCAGAGGAAGTCAAGGCACAAGCAGAGTACACAGAAGCAAACAAGCAAGTGAAGAAGAGCATTAAAGCCAACAAGCAGAAATAGATGGGAGAACTAGCAACGACAGCGGAAAAAGCTGCAAGAGAAGGGAATGTGAAACAACTATATGATACAACGAAGAAACTAGCAGGGAGATATAGTAAACTGGAGAGACCAGTCGAGGACAAAGAAGGAAAGACAATCACGGAGATTCAAGAACAGAAGAAAAGATGAGTAAAATACTTCGAGGAACCGCTGAATACACTAGCCCCAATAAATCCACCAGACATCGAAACAGCACACACAAACCTTCCTATAGATGTCACTACACCAACGATCGAAGAAATCAAGATGGACATCAGACAAATAAAGAGTGTGAAAGCGGCAGGACCTGACAATATACCAGCTGAAGCACTGAAGTCAGACATTGAAGTAACTGCAAACATGCTTCATCTTCTAATCAAGAAGATTTGGGAAAAAGAACAAGTGCCAACGGACTAGAAAGAAGGACACTTCATCAAGATACTAAGGAAAGGAGATCTGAACAAATGTGAGAATTACAGAGGCATCACATTGTTGTCAGTTCCAGGAGAAGTTTCCAATAAAGTGTTGCTGAACCGGATGAAAGACGCAGTAGACGCCCAACTCCGAGATCAACAGGCTGGATTCCGCAAGGATGCGTCGTGCACAGACCAAATTGCGACACTACGGATCATTGTGGAACAATCAATTGAGTGGGACTCGTCACTATGCATCAACTTTATCGACTTTAAGAAGGCGTTTGACAGTGTACATAGGAGAACATCATGGAAACTTCTTCGACACTATGAAGTTCCTGAGAAGATTATTAACATTATCCAGAACTCATACGACGGACTACAGTGCAAAGTGGTGCGTGGAGGACAGCTGACAGTTGCATTTCCAGTTAGAACCGGAGTCAGACAAGGCTGTCTATTCTCCCTCTTCCTCTTTCTTCTGGTAGTTGACTGGATTATGAAGACCTCGACATCTGAGAGGAAGCACGGAATACAATGGACATCTGAGAATCAATTAGACGATTTGGACTTCGCATATGACCTAGCTCTTTTATCTCATAAACAGAAACAAATGCAGGTGAAGACAACTAATGTAGCAGTGGCCTCTGCATCAATAGGCCTCAACATACACAAAAGTAAAAGCAAGATTCTCAAATACAGCACGGGTAACGCCAAACCAATCACACTTGGTGGAGAAACTCTGGAAGATGTGGAAACATTAACGTACCCGGGAAGCATCATTGATGAACAAGGAGGATCTGATGCAGACGTAAAGGCGAGGATTGGCAAAGCAAGGGCCGCATTCTTACAATTGAAGAAAGAGGAAATCAGGAAAAGACGTTGGAAGTGGATCGGACATACATTGAGGAAATCATCAAACTGCATCACGAGGCAAGCCCTCACTTGGAATCCTGAAGGGAAGCGGAAAAGAGGAAGGCCAATGAACACATTACCCGGGAAATAGAAGCAGATATGAAAAGGATGGATAGCAACTGGAAAGAATTGAAAAGGATTTCCCAGGATAAGGTTGGATAGAGAATGCTGGTGGGCGGCCTATGCTTCTCCACGAGGGGTAACAGGCATAGGTAAGTAAGTACTTTCTGTAATAATATACCGAAAAAATAAGTGCCAAATCAGATTTAGACATTCAAATATGTGCTTTTTTCATTTACTTCAGTACGATAGTCAGGTACTTTATTTCCAGCTGCAGTTCATATATATAATAAAATTAATTAGAGAACTAGTTCTTCTAAGGCAAGTTGCGAATTAACTTCTGACTACAACTAAACCATACAAGAGCGATATACTAATTCAAATTAGTAATCCGGATGATATAACAGAAAATTACTTACCTATTACAACCACAAGCTGTTGACTTGAATATCTCAACAAAACGGATATACAAAAAGTCTGCAAAAAATAGTGTAAATGAATGGATAAATATACAACTTAAAAAGCAAGACTAGGTTGAAATTGTGGTGAAGACATTCCGCAAATGGAATATTTATGTCTCAGTGAATTAGGTAAAAATTTACAAACTTGATTTGGATCCGCAAGATAACTCTTATGCTTCTGGAGACTTTATGATATGTCTCCCAATCGACAACAACGAAGTAATCGTATTCATCCTTTAACTTCCCATAAGCCCGAAAATGACATCGTTATATTCGTTCAATTCCCTCAGTCTTATTTACTTCTTGATATTTTTCTTTATAGTTTTCCCCTATTAGCATTACGTTCCCTCTTAATCCTTAATTATTGACTGTATCTCACTGTGATGATGTGAAGTGTAGCAGCTTAATTTTTGGCTCATCTATTTTGTGTTTCACATTGTATTACTTCTGTCGGCACTGAGGAAAGCAACTTCAATCATTCGCCATATCCGTAATCACTCAGTCAAGAAGTCATAGATGTACCAATCATAGTGCCATATCTCTTATCAACACAGTAAGTGGGGGTTAACATGACTACAAACTAAGCGTGAAAGATACAATCCAAATGAGATCGAAACATAGGAAGTACAAAGTGACACCCTAGTCGCTTTAATGGTCATTAACAGTTGTCCGTTGCTACCTATCCCTTTGTTTGTCATCACTGACCAAGACAATTGTGCAGACTTCTTGTCGGTCTAAATTGGAATTTTCTTCACTGCTTATTGTATTCGAAGATTACCAGCATGAGTTTTCGAGTATCTGCTAGATAAGTATACCGCTTTTAAGTTCAGTGGGATTACCTAACTTTAGTTCAGGATGTAACATACTTCACTTTTGTCTCAACAGTTTATTGTATTTCATACCAGGTTAGATTAAAACAAACATTCTGTTTATATCAGACTAGGTGTCTAGCTAGTTAAATCATAAAAATATAGTAGTCCTACTTCCATCTTTGAGGTAAGAGTTTAGAGAACTCATTCTGTTGCAATGTTCCTGAATCTAATAACGTGTGGCGATATACGTTATCGCACGAAAACAATCATGATCCAGAAATGTGCTCCGGAAATAGAGACAGTGAATTATTCTCAGGGTCAATGTATACTAGTTCGTGTTTTTACATGACAGAACAGTAGAGACATCAGTTACCCCTACAAACATTTATGAAGGACAACTACACCTCATGAACTAATATTGCGAGTGACATTTATCGTCAGTGACACAGACTTATTGATGGGAATTCCGAAATCACTGAAGCTGCTGAATTCGCAAAAGTTAAACACGATATCGTAATCCTAGGAGAGTTTGGTGTTGCACCACATTTAGGAATGTAGAACTGAATGCAAAATAAGTCAGTCAATTATGCTAGTACATTACTTTCCTTCGCTTTATGTCGACATTTATTATTTATTGTTTGATTAATTGACTGCTTTGATTTTGTAGCTAAGTTAAAACAGGATTTCGAAGAATCTCGAAACATTTTATCACCCAGGGGGCTGAAATTTCGGTAACTGTTAGTTATGAAAAATAATACATTGTTGAAGTTTCTACTAAATTTGGAAAATATGTTCAAGAGCAATCCGTGCGATTTGGTGAAATACATAACCAGAACAGCTAAAAACAGTCAAACTCTGCTTGAAATGGAAAGATTAGTGATCAAGAATCTAAATAAAGGCCATAATATCCTCATTTTTAACTAGTCATTATGTCACTAAAGTGGTAATAAAAATCAGAGTATTGAAACAATACAAACGATTAACAATTAATTATAGCTCATGAAGTCACCAACTCCTATTTTCCAAAACTGCTCTTACTTCGAAAATTACTTATAAAGTACAGAATATCTGAAACAGGAGTGAAAACCATTAACAGAAAACTTACAAATAGTAACATGATCAGAGCAGCAGCAAAGTAGGACGACCTAGACATCTGCGAAATAACGAGCTTATAATGTTGTCCGCTCATTACATTTACCACATAACCTTTCAGTCCTTCGCTAGCTGATAAGTACTTCACACTACCAATCAAAAGGTCTTCATAACCGAGAAACTCTTCCATGAGAAAACGACTGAGTTTACTGCCGAAGCAAGGGTTTGTTTCTGGGTCTACAATTTAGCAATATGCATTTTTGATTACGTAAACCTAGTAATAGAAAAATATTACTTCCACACAGAAATTTGCAAGAAAAATTCTTAATAACAAATCCTAATAAGCTCTATCACTTGCTACTATAAGACTTTAGCAAGTTCTGTAGAAAGAGACCGGAACGGTACACCAAGATTTTATCAGCAAATAATATTGACAACAAATTATTTCATCATACAAAATAAAGGCCCGTACTGTACACGAATGAAAATTAGAGAGGGCATCCTTAAAGAGTTCTGTGAACGACATTCACGTTTACACTAATATTTCCGAATGGTAATTACTAACTTCAAACAGATTAGACAGATGACGTAGTGTGTTACTAATCTTTAGTCAGCAATCTGATACGTAAATGTCACGATTACTCCAAGGAAAACACAAACACTGAGTGAGAAATTTTTACGGTAAGGAAACGAACGTTGGACAATGAAAATGTTTTTTGCGCTAGTGGGCATTCATAATGTGCAGGGTGATGATAAGAAAAGTTTGTATGTAACTCATTTTGCTGCTGGACTTAATTTGAAGCTACATTTTGTTACTAATTATTCTTTAGTTTTTCGCCACATTAGAAATCCGTGCACTATACGACCGTAACGCTGTAATAAATTAAATTTTTGGTTCATTAATTTATGTAACCTTATTTTTGCAGTAATAAATTCGACCGCTTACACATGGAATTCGAGTTGAGAACACGAACAATGTAGAAACGAAACTGCTTTCTAATTTATCTTAGCCTCACTCAAGGAATTATATATACGAAGAGGTTTGCGTAAAAAAGGGACATAAATAAAGAAAGGGAGGAACAAAGAACAAGACACCAATAAGATAATTTCGAAACATGTTTTACTGAGCGGTACAAAAAGGTAATTACAAGAAACAATAAAAACTTTATATTACATCATTTTATCACCAGATGAAATCAACTGTTACGTTGTGATCTAAGCATCTTTATCAAGAATTTGAATAGTATTAATTAGAATTTTACTCTGATTAACATCTAGTCAATTATGAACTTTGCAAAAGAAGTGTTCCCTACTCCTCACCAGATGTTATACAGTTGAATACTGATGTTAAAGGATTTTCCTGTTAACTAATTTTTATTTATCTTGAAAGGCGCACCAGAGAACATTAATCTAGTACAGGCTTCCTACTAGAACATTACTGGTCGATCCAGAGGTTATGGTGAACTGTCATCGGAATTGGTTATTTAAAGTGGTGTTCGTCAGAGTTGTCCGTTCTCTCCACTTTTATTTAACTTTTTCATAGACACGCTTTTAGAGATGACACTCGTCGTCCGACTTTTCAGGGATTGATCTATTGGGAGATTCATTTAATTTAAAATACTCAGGCGATATAGTTCTGTTCGCTTAAAACGCTGGCAAAAAGGACAGTTTTTTTATCACCATAAGCAACAATGCAACCATGTTTGGAATGAGGTTCTCTCACCGAATTTATAATGTTAACTCAGGATTAGCTTGCGTCATCGATTGAATTCATGACAAGGAGTGAAGTAGTTGAACGCATCGACCGCTTTATTTGCATTAGGAGTCTCGTCAGTACTGATGGTATGGTGTCTGACGAAATCTCGGCACAAGTTCAAAAGGTCCGATAGACTTCTGTCCGCTTGCGTCATTTGTGGCATGAGATAGTCGTCTGTCATCTAAAGTGCGAGTTCGCTCTGTTCTACTTTATGGTTAAAGAATATAGACATTAAGAATAGAGGATATTCGTAGACTACTAGTATTCGATCACAGGTGTCTTCGAAGCATTCCACTTGTATTTTGGAACCACCGAGTGAGAAATGCTTGCATTGGAAACACGGTATTAGGAAAGGATGGAGAGTCGACTGGTGAGGTAGTAAATCTTAAAGAGGCGGTTGGGACTTATCATGTATGCACAACCACAGCCTACCTCAACGGGCGACATTTTATGATGATGACAGAATCAAAACTAGGGGTGGAAAAACCAAAAACACGGTACCAGTCCGTGGAGACGTCGACGATGGGACTGAGATTCTGTTTTCCCCAAATTCTGAGCCACTGAATCCCTCATAACTTTTCTTTTCTGTATGTTTTCTTGAATTGTACTTTCGATGCCAACTCTTTTCAGTCACCACTCACACTGTCACTACATCTAATATTCTGGGATTTCGCCTGACAACTTTATCTCTCTGTGCTAATGGGGTACGGTAATTTGAACTGATGTACATAAGTAAAGGGTATACGTTGTGACTGACCGAATGTTAAGTTTTTCAGTCTGACTCAATAAAATGGATATAAGACAATTACAGGAAAGTTAAACATACCAAGAACAATTAATTTTACAGTTACGTTAAGCCGATTTCGGGCCCGCGGTGAAAGACGAAGGAGGCCATACTCCAAGGCATATTCAATTATGTAGCTCTCATTTGTGTTTGGTGCTAAAAAACAGTATCAAAAGTTCCCGAAATTGTATAACTGCTACGAAATTTAGGCAGAAAAAACTTATTAGGTTATGTAAAAATGATAGTTTTGTGGAACAATCAGTTTTTTTGTATTCTGCTGCTTTTTACTTATGTACATACACAAGCTCTTTTTTTCTAAAATCAAAATCTGATTAAATATTAAAGTTCGAAACTGATATCATTGGAAGCCAACAAGCTGGTCAAATGGATAAGATATGGTCCTACGCTCCCAAGGTTCTGAGTTGAACCTTTGGAGAAGTTAAGGATGTGCACTTCTGGAAGGTTTCACACTAAGATAAAATGGTTGCCCAGTGCCCCCAGGTTTTGAATGTTATTCCAACTAAGGTCAATCTATGATGAATTTGATCTACAAATGTTAAGATATGCAGGATTAACCTGAACCGAAACCAAATGTAATGAAATACGATGGATTCATGGTATCTTGAAAACGCTTGTAGAAATAAAGAGCATGACAGATATTTTCATGTTACCCGCCTTAGAGCTTATAAGATATTGAATCTCACAACAGCTTCTCTAATAGGAATATAAACAAATTACTATGTCCTTATTCCAGATAAGAAAGAATGGATTAGTTGAATATTCCCAACTAGTTTACTTGAAGAAAGAACTTAGGCTTTCAGCGAATCAATTAGGCGGTTACATATGCAAAGAAAATGCACATTTATTTATTTAATCGCGATCATATCAATATAATTATTGTTGGACAAGAATGTATCTTAATAGGCAGGTCTTTATTCAATGCTGAGTCAATAACCTACAAAATTCTTATTCTGAGATTCCTTAGTATATGTAATCATTTTCACTTTCTTGTTTAATATTTTACACATAATTATGTTAGTTTACTCGAGAAAAAGAACCTACTTTTTACGGTTATTAATCTTGCTTTGATTTCAGTATACAGTGGTTTGTGTTAATAATTCGGTCTCGCATACAATCATCACTCGGCCGAATTACATCATTGCTTTTTATGTACTTGTCAGAACCGTATTCAATCTGAGAATTTGAAACCTGTTTATAACCGAAAATCTAGAAACTCATCCTCCATAAGTCACATCTAGTTTTTTTAGAATTATGGATACAAACTACGATTTGCTTTATTATTAGCCAAGAATCTTTAATCCATCATTATAGAATCCATTAATACTGAACCCGATATAAGTGTGGTATTAATTATGTATAAATAATTTGCTGATGTCATACTGCGAATATCAAGAAAAAAAGTGTAAGTAGGTTGACTCTAGAAAAACAACCTAGCTTCCGTTAGGATCACAAGTACATTGGATGACTCCTCAATCTTTTCTGAATCCGTAAACGCTAACAGTGATCAAATTTCACGCACAAAAATGTGTTTAAGGAATTAACTCATGCTACCATCAGCATCGCATGAGTTTCGTGCAAAGTAGGTGATTTTTTCCTGATAAAAACTACTGTTAAGACTAAATCACTTAAAAAAGAAAAGTATCATTTAAATTTAGTGATATCGCTCTTAAGATCTAGTGGGGTACTTAAATTATTTCTGCAGGGATCGTTTGTGTCAAATAAAATAAAACAAAAAATGTTCTTACCAGGACCTGACGAGGCATATATACGAATAGGAATGTCGCAAATAAAATCAACGATACCAGCAAAGATGTCGAATACTAACCGGTTCATTCCAGGCAACAACTGACTGAGTTTATTTCTAGTGGTTATAATAGCGTTGTATGGAGACATATATTCCTCATTCTCCTCAAAAGAAAATGTTCGCTCTCGATTACCAGCGTATAAGTAATTTAAAAAGTGGTTAAAATCTTCTTTGATGGATCCATATGCAATGAATGGCAAAGACAAAATTGAACTCCAGAAGTCCTGATGTTCGGGGATGATATTCTCAGCAAAATAAGCTACTGAATACTTTGAAGTTTTTGGAATATAGGCAATATGTTTACCCAACTCGTTAGTCTGTGGTGTCTTTTCATTCTTGGCTTCAAAACGATAATCAGTTTCAGTACCGTAAAACTCTTTCGCATATGAGTCTTCAAGAGAATAGAATGGATCAGGAGAACGGATGACTTCGATACGTAAAACACCATAGTTAGGCCATGAACGTCGTAAAAAAGAATCTGATCCATTACCTTTCGACCAATAATTAGTATCCATAGTTCTGGAGGTAAAAGATACACCTGAACCAGACTTTATGCTTTGAAATTCACTACGTAAATTATCCAAACACGTTACTGGAGATTTTACAAATGTTAAGTGAAGATGCATGAATACAACTAGTACGAAAACAGCCTGAAAAATAATTAAACCAATACAATTTAAATTGTATAAAAAACGTTAGCACTTTGTCTAAGTTGGATATAATTATTCGGACAATTCCAAGCTAAACGAAGATTCGGGGTAAAGAGCACACTACAAAAATAGACGAATATTCAGTCCCATAAATTTAACTCTGAGACTGCAGCGTCAACCTTCAATACTAATGGTTACAAAATCTACTGAACAGTCAGTCAGTGACTAATTAACTAAGGGTTACTAAATAATCATTTCTATCTATATAAATACTCCGACCTCCATACATATAGTTCCTTAAGGTATTTCAGAAGGATGTTTATTTGGTATGAAACCCAATAGAAACTGAACTGATACAAGTCTATAGTACAGTGATAACACAAAGTAGATTATTAGATAAGGAAGCATCAAAAGTGACATTTTTGTAATAATGTACAAATCTGCCATTTTATTGTTTGCTTCTTAACCTCCCAGGACATCTTGCATTTTAATTCAGATTTATAAAAAACAGGTCGTTGAAGACAAGCAAAACGAGTACATACAATTCGTAGACTACTTATGTTGCTGTAATAACCAAACGAATGGTTTTGCCAGGACTAACACAAGCCATCAAGCCTTCTGTCCTTTCCAAACTGAAACTATTGCACCCAGTAAATCACTTCTGTTTGTGTAAAAAGTATGAACTCCTTTTGAGATTTCGATGCAAGAATGGTCAAACAACCTGACTAATTAACTTCCAATCAGTCAGCACTAATAAACGATGCCACTTGCCAGAGGTTTTCTGCGCAACATGTGTGAACATTCGTGTTTATAAACTTGCATTATTGTTCTGGTACTTCCCTTTGGAATGTATCGTGTTGTGTTATATCGAGTAGTTGGAGAACAATACTAATGTTTTCTGTCATCGTAATTATTTACTTCGAGTGACGTTCGTCAGGGTTGTGCGCTTTCTCCATGTTTATTTAACTTTACCATAGACATGCTTTTAAAGAGCACTTTCATCGTCTGACTTTTCAATTGACCTTCTACCAGGAGACTCACTTGTTGAGACTTGTCATGTATGCATAACCACAGCCTATCTCAACGGGCGACATTTTATGATGATGACTGGATCAAAACTAGGGGTGGAAAAACCAAAAACACGGTATCAGTCCGTGGAGACGTCGACGATGGGACTGAGAGATTCTGTTTTCCCCAAATTCTGAGCCACTGAATCCCTCATAACTTTTCTTTTCTGTATGTTTTCTTGAATTGTATTTGTTATATCCCCCGGTGAATTACGAATGGTAACTTTTAGGTCTATTTATGGATCAATGTAATATGCCTATTTCCTATTGTACAATTATTACATAACTGAACTATTCATATTCGTATTTCTCTTATCATTAGCTTTATTTTGACCTTGACTTAGTATCATACAATTCTTGAGTTATAATCAGTTTATTGATTACTTTGGTTTGTATAAAAACCCAGTATGTTTTAAATACAACGATTCATACCACTGAGGCTGTTATTGGTGTTTTGGACTTAACTGGCTGGGCTAGGCAGATCGCAGGACCGGTTAGCACTCTAGTCTGCTCGTACGGGTTTTGTGTCACTGTTCCAACCGATAATCCGCTGCTCCCTGTTTGGCGGTTCTATCGAGCCACACATCAACTAGGCATCCACTCGGCCACAAGATATAACAGTATTTTCGATGCCTATTCTTTGCAGTCACCACTCACACTGTCACTACATCTAATATTCTGGGATTTCGCCTGACAACTTTATCTCTCTGTGCTAATGGGGTACGGTAATTTGAACTGATGTACATAAGTAAAGGGTATACATTGTGACTGACTGACTAGTCATTTTGATTGTACTACTCTTACTTGTTTCCTAACAATAACATCTTTCTATATGTGCAGCGCATACGTGTTTTCGTGTCCAGTTGTACATGAATATACGCTTCTAATCAGTTGTAATGATTTTCAGAATTCAGGCAATCGCGTTACAGATTTTAACCTAGATCCACCTATTAAAGTTTTGACATTTAAGTACTTGACTCAAAGTTTATAAATGGATTTAGGGTTTCATAATGTTATAATAATTTATGGAGTCAAAAATGTGTTACCTGTACCAAAAACCCGAATTCAATGATGCGACGAGCGGTCAAAGGAAACACACGAATATAACCAAGAGCAACTCGCCGGAAGAATACTTCAAATAAGTGAGCACGTGTGTTTAGGACATTAGTTCTCAGAAAAATATGAGGCAGTTGGTTTACAGGCCTACTGAATCCATTGAGAATAACCATAAGAGCAGAATGAATTTGATTTGACTGGACACTACAATTTAGTCTACAAAACCAGGTTAGTACGACAGATACATGACAAATTATATTGAAAACAAACATTATCAAATGTGATTTATGAATTTGGTAAAAATCAAATTACAAAACGATGCACACTATAGGAAAAAACTCATTTCTCAAACTAAAAGTTGAAGTAACAGCTTAAAACGATGTTTGTTCAGCTTTAGCCAACTAGTGCCGAATTGGGGGCAGATGTTTTTGTTTGCTAGAATGACAATAGTCTTTGAGCCTGGTCTGTATTGGTCCAATACCGGTGAACATGGTTGATAAAGTTAGGAAATATTTGTACATTGCAAGTAGTCGATTGTAAGGATTTTCGGACCATTTGCGTAGTATGACGGAATCACAGTGATTAATATTGACGTTAGTTATGCAGTTATAAGTAAACATTTACCAAGCTATGAATCTCTGATGCGGCAATTTACATGCACTTATCTAGAGGCTACATTAATCAGCAATGCCAGCTTGTATATGAGCGAATCAGAAGCTATGGAAAGTCAAAGAAACATATTACCAAGTCATTGAATTAACTGACTACAGGACTCAATCATGGGCAGATATCACAACCAGTAATTGTCAGAAACGTGTAACAAAAAACTGTCTCTATTTCCGGAGCACATTTCTGGATCATGATTGTTTTCGTGCGATAACGTATATCGCCACACGTTATTAGATTCAGGAACATTGCAACAGAATGAGTTCTCTAAACTCTTACCTCAAAGATGGAAGTAGGACTACTATATTTTTATGATTTAACTAGCTAGACACCTAGTCTGATATAAACAGAATGTTTGTTTTAATCTAACCTGGTATGAAATACAATAAACTGTTGAGACAAAAGTGAAGTATGTTACATCCTGAACTAAAGTTAGGTAATCCCACTGAACTTAAAAGCGGTATACTTATCTAGCAGATACTCGAAAACTCATGCTGGTAATCTTCGAATACAATAAGCAGTGAAGAAAATTCCAATTTAGACCGACAAGAAGTCTGCACAATTGTCTTGGTCAGTGATGACAAACAAAGGGATAGGTAGCAACGGACAACTGTTAATGACCATTAAAGCGACTAGGGTGTCACTTTGTACTTCCTATGTTTCGATCTCATTTGGATTGTATCTTTCACGCTTAGTTTGTAGTCATGTTAACCCCCACTTACTGTGTTGATAAGAGATATGGCACTATGATTGGTACATCTATGACTTCTTGACTGAGTGATTACGGATATGGCGAATGATTGAAGTTGCTTTCCTCAGTGCCGACAGAAGTAATACAATGTGAAACACAAAATAGATGAGCCAAAAATTAAGCTGCTACACTTCACATCATCACAGTGAGATACAGTCAATAATTAAGGATTAAGAGGGAACGTAATGCTAATAGGGGAAAACTATAAAGAAAAATATCAAGAAGTAAATAAGACTGGGGGAATTGAACGAATATAACGATGTCATTTTCGGGCTTATGGGAAGTTAAAGGATGAATACGATTACTTCGTTGTTGTCGATTGAGAGGCAGACTGAGACACCTCAACTTATTTCCGTTATCTTACCGTAGAATACGGGATGATCTAATATTGTCTTATCGTATCCCGAACGATGACCTTGGTACTAATATATCCTATCTTTTCTTTCGGTCTAGGACTGACGATTAGAGAGGACATTCGAAGAAAGTCCAAAAACCGAGATCAAATCGTCTACGTCTGGATTTCCGTTTCTCGCACCGAGTAATGAATTACCGGAATTCTTTACCAAAACACGTAATATCGGCATTTTCTGTCGATATATTCAAAACGAGATTGGACCTCTACAGTGTAACAAACTGCAAGGATTAATATAAGTTAATATACATCCTATCTTTATTACTGAAGACTGATATCATGAAGTCTTCAGTTTCAGTTTCAGTTTGGAAAGGACAGGAGGCTTGATGGCCTGTGTTAGTCCTGGCAATGATGGCCTCTCAGCTGATCCAACTTTCTTTTGAAGGAGTCGACGGATGGAGCCTCAACCACGTGCTGAGGTAATGAATTCCACTCGTTGATTATTCGATGGGAAAGTCGGTAGTCAGCTGACAAGTAATTCGTTCTGGGCTTGTGAACTTTTTTGGAGTGTCCTCGTAGATTTTCTGTTTTGGAAGACAAGAAAAATGAGGGCATATCAGGTGCAAATTTGTCATTAAGCAATTTGAAAACTGTAATCAAGTCGCCTCTGATTCTTCTATATGACAGCGGGAATAGGTTTAGCTTGGTCAGTCTAGTACCATACGGGAGCTTCGCTATTCCGGGAATCAGCTTAGTTGCTGTTCTCTGAACCCTTTCCAAGAGTTCACTGTCTTTTTTTAGGCAAGGGCTAGCTGCTTGTATACAGTACTCAAGTTTAGGGCGTACGAACACTGTATACAAAGTCAGAAACGTCTTAGCGTCGAGATGCCTGAAAGCCCTGCGTATGGACCATAAAGTCCTAAAACCTTTGGCGGCTATTGTACGGCAGTGTGCAGTAGTCTTTAAGTCTTGACTGACGATGACGCCTAAGTCATTGTGTACCTGAACAATAGGTAACTCAGTGTTATTCATCGTGTATGTATCTGTACCCTGGTGGCCAATATGCATCACAATACACTTGGAAGTGTTTATCGGCAATTGCCAGGTTTGGGACCATTCACATAATCTCTCCAGGTCATTTTGAAGTTCTAAGCTATCGCCCTTGCTTTGTATCGCTCTCCATATCTTGACATCATCAGCATAGAGTAAGACCGATGACGATAGTAGACGAGGGAGATCATTTACGTATAGGAGGAATAACACTGGCCCCAAAACTGTACCCTGGGGGACTCCACTAAGCACAGTTTCCCAGCTAGACAACTTGGAGTTCACCCTTACTCTTTGTTGACGCCCAACTAGGAAGTCTTTTATCCACATCAATAGATTGCCTCCAATCCCGACATTCCTTAGCTTATATAACAGCCGGTTATGCGGAACTTTGTCGAAAGCTTTGCTGAAATCGATGTAAGCTACGTCTATAGGAAATTTTCGGTCCTTAAGAGCGCACCAGCTTTCACGAGCGACTAATAAGTTTGTGAGACAAGAGTAACCTGTTCTAAAACCATGCTGCTTTTCGGAGAGGATCCGGTTTTTATCGAGATACTTTAACAGTTCCTTCCGAATAATCTTTTCTAAGATTTTAACAACCACACTAGTTAGGCTAATTGGTCGGTAATTCTCAGGCTTATGTTTTGTACCTGTTTTGAAGACTGGACTTACTATGGCGTTCTTCCAGTCTTTTGGTAGACGACCCTGGGTTACGGATAGATTAAAACATACACTTAAAGGGTTCGCAACAAAGTTAGCTAATTCCTTTAGTAACCTAGGATGCAGTTCATCGGGTCCAGTGGATTTACCTATGTCAAGCTTAACTAGCAGACCAAAGACATCGAGTTCTTTAATGGTTACGCTGTCCAGTGCTTGTGTGGGGGATTTTCATGGACTGGTGAGAAGGGTGTTTCTATGGTGTATACATCGCTAAAGTATTTAGAGAATACTTGAGCTTTGCCAAAGTCGTCCTCCACTAGTGATGTGGCAGTACTGTCTCCCCATAGTGAAGGAACATTTCTTCTTCTTTTTGTCCTTTGGTTTATATACGAATACAAGCGTTTAGGGCATTCTATGGATTCCCTGACGATTTTCTCTTCGTACAGCTTTCTGGCCTTACGGAGGGTCGAGGGACAGGTATTTCGAGCCTTTTGATACTGAGATTTCGCCTCGTCAGTTCCCAGTAGCCTTAATCTATCCCACATTTTCCTTCTTTTACGGAGAAGGATGAGAACCTCCCTACTGAACCACGGTGGGGAGTTTCTCGGTCTCTTAGGTGTAGTCCAAGGGATGTGGAGGTGGTAACTTTTAAGTATAAATTCCGGAATACGTCCCAAGCCGTTTCGATTGATGACTCTGGGTCTAATTTCCAATCTACTAATGATGCTGATTTCATGATGTCTGGTATGTTTGCTTTCCAGACGTTAGGTCTGGATTGAGCTGAAGCGTACTCGTGATCGACAGTTATATGGAAGTCAAAGCTTAAAACTGCATGATCACTTTTGCCTAGGGGTGGCATGTAATCCAGGTTTGCAACATCATCCTCATAATGAGTCAATATAAGATCTAGTAAGGATGATGCAGAACCAGGGTCGTACCTAGTTGCTTCCTTCACGTGTTGCACTAGGGCACATGTGATTACCGCATCAACTAGTTCCTGTTCGAAGGAGTTTGCTGACGATTCAGTCCGCAGATTTCCCCAGTCCACCATGGGTGCATTAAAGTCCCCTAGGATTAGACATCGATCACTTCGTGATAAAGTGTTGAGACTGCTTAGCAGGACCTCGTTTGCCTCACAGCTTGGACTGCGATAGATCAAACTAAGTAGCAACTCTTGTCCCCTGCATTTCAGGCGGCAGCAAACTAATTCATGCGTCCCACTCTCATGTGATACACTGTCGATAATGGTGAATGGAATAGCATTCCTAATGAATAGAGCCACTCCCCCTCCTTTACGCGTTTGTATTCTATCGGCCCTTACTAATGTAAAACCCTCGAAATCAAGTTCCCTACTATCTATAGACGGCGTCAGCCATGTTTCTGTGACTGCGATTATGTCTGGCCTAGTTGAGTCAATCTGTACACCTAGTTCCGGTAGCTTATTCAGTAAGCTCCGGGCGTTGGTATAACAGATCCGAAGCCTATTTAGGTGGCCTCGTGATTCACCCAGAGTGGCTTCGGCATCATCCTCTGTCGAAGCCTCACAACCCGAAAATTTACAATTTTCAGGTCTTTTTCGCCAGCGTCTAATCTGAGCTGTAGTTCCTTTTCGGCTTCCCGTCTTTTAACACGGTCCGCCAACGGTAAATCCTTACGGAGAAAAACTCCTGAACCCTTTAATTTGTGTCCATTTTCTAAGATTAAGTCGCGTTCGTTTGGGGATTTGAAAACGACTTTGAGTAGTCTAGACTGATTTGGTTTCAGATGCGCTAGATTTCCTAGTCTATACACCTTTAGCAAGGTGACTCCGGGGATGTTTTTGGGCATAACTTGGTTGAGTAGTTGTTTTATCAACACAATGTCATGCTCAACACGAGCTTTCGGTTCTAAGTTGTCACTCTCCTTGACTCTATGGAGAATGACTGATCTGTCACTATGATCAGACCTCGGCTTGTCGACACTTTTGGTGGATGTATGATTTACTTTTACGTCATTTTTGGCGTTTTTTTTCTTACGACCCGTACCCAATCGCCAACGTTCTTTGGAGTGGTAACCACAGTCGCGTCAGGCGTACTGTGGGATTCCGGAAGAGTCAGGACGACTTGGGAGATTGGGTCATCTTTCGCGCTGGAAACCGATCGAACCTTGCGGTTTCGGCTTCCGAAAGTTCCCTTCTGGGTACCATTTTTGATACGAGGGACAGAAGAGACTTTTTGGCGCGAGTTTCTGGTTGTAACAGTCCTCTTTGGAGGGTGTTCTTTCTCCTTAGTAGAGTGTGGGTCGGCAGCTTTTGGACTCACTTGGGCCTGCCTTGTGTCAATCTGCGTGTCGACAGATTGAGTTCTGACTGATGTATCCCGACCGCGCTTGCCGAGACACTTTTTTGCGGCATTTACTATTAAGATGGCCTGGGTTAACAGGCTATTTGCATCCAAACAGCACTGTTGACATAGCCATACGCACCCATTTTTACTGAACCGCTTGAAAGCTGCAGGTGTTAGATTCGTGCAAACATCGTGGTACCAACCTTTGAACTCATCGCACTGCATGCCGCTATCAACAGGATATCGACATCCTGGGCGGTGGCAAATGCTTTTGTTGCATCTTCCAGTCATTTTAGGATGCGAAGGTGAGTGTTGACTTCAAGTAGAAAAAAACTATAAATAGTTAGGACCAAAGTACTAACAGACACAATAGAAAAACAAAGGTACTCTGGAGTACCGACGATAAAACTATTTAGGATACCAAAGATGATACTCTAATAGAATACTTTAACTGAAAGAAATTCAATCAAAGTATAAAAACAGTAGTCTTGATACGTTAATAACGATCAAAACAATAGAATTTACTCAACGAGGAAAAATACCACTGTCCTTTTTAAATAGCGCGCGAGGTTAAGTATAAGGGTTATCTTGCGGATCCAAATCAATTTTGTACACTTCTACGTGGCTCATTGAGGTAGTGAATTTCAATAATGCTAATTTTTAGTAACTATGTTATCAGCAATACAAGCTAATGAATGTGGTGGAGCTCGAGTTATTAACGCAACTAGATCCAAATGCTCTATACATGTATCTTTAGTGTGCGCGGATGAAAAATGAATGCGTGAGTTAAGACGTAAAAAATTAGAGGTATTCGTTTGTGAGTAAATATGAACGCAGAACTATGGCAAAAAAGTGTAAAGTACCGCGGTCACCGACCAGAAGCGGGGCACTTCAAAGAAGCGCGATCTAAAATGGTCCAAAGGTTCAAATGGATGTGGGCGGAATAGAAGAAGATTTCACTTAACCGGCTTCCGTGTCTAGTAGCAGTGGATCACCAATACTTCCAAGCAAGAATCTAGGTATATTAACGATAATAGATGGAAAAGAAGAAATTGGTAGTATGTTATTCTTAGTCCTTAAGAATAGGTCAAATTTCCTCTTAAAGGACTTCTGGGAAGTCGCTTGGACTAGCTCAGTCGGCAGCTAATTCCAGCATTTGACAACTCTTAAGGAGTAGAAGTTGTGTCTACAGTCCGTTCTGCTATATTGATACTCCAGTTTCTGGGTGTTACCCCTTAGTTTAGTGTTGTAACTAAGCTTAAGTATTATTTATTATTATTAATGGCTTTATTCTATATTATAATAAGTAGATGTTTAAGGGGATGACCATAAGTGGTATGGATACCGCAAGTCATAGGAAGGTCATCTCTAAGACGCCTGTACTCTAACGGGTAAAGGTTAAGTGACTGGAGACGCTCTTCATAAGGTTTGAATTTGAGCCCCCGAACTGATTTCGTGGCTCGACGTTTGATACGTTCCACAGTGTCCTTATCCTTTTGGAGGGAGGGAGGGAGGAGATACTATGTTTCCGTACTCTAAATGGGGACGAATAAAGCTGCCGAGGATTACGTGGAAAGTTCTATTCAGATGGATCCCTAAATCCAAAAAATCATAAATCTTTGTTACGAGCATGTATACACTAGTTGATTTCTTTGAACCAATTTTTTTGTCATTTTGATACGTAATCAGTAATTAACAAGTGTCTTATATGGTGTGGTCTTATCACACGATCGCATTGGTTCATTCAGTCCAGTTTCAGCTTTAGTTTGTAAAGGCTAGGTGGCTTGTCTTAGTCATGGCATCGCTTGAATCGACTTTCGGAAGCGTCGACAAATGAAGTTCCAATCACAAAGCTTTTTTGGGGAGATATGAAGTATCCCCCACAACATAATTTTACTTAAAACTCATTCAAAATATCCCTCTTGTTAATTATTCTATCTTGTCTGAATCGTTTTAATAAATAAATGGTTGATTTCATGAACTGTGTCACAAAACACGAAGTGTTAAACAGCTTTCCATTAGCCACATGTGACATTTAAACTTAACTATTTCAAATCAGAGTAAAATTAACTGGTAGCTCATGTATTAATGGTTGTATGAAGATGAATATTTCATCTGCGGAATGTCTTCACCACAATTTCAACCTAGTCTTGCTTTTTAAGTTGTATATTTATCCATTCATTTACACTATTTTTTGCAGACTTTTTGTATATCCGTTTTGTTGAGATATTCAAGTCAACAGCTTGTGGTTGTAATAGGTAAGTAATTTTCTTTCGATAATGTAATAAGAAGACGAAGATTATCAGAACCCACGAAATCAAGTTACCGATTGGCCAAAAATTAAATGTCATCACTCAATCGGAATTTCGATCTAGCCTTTCTGAAACACCTATGTTGTTCTAACTGGCCTCCCTCAACGTTCGCACACCTATGCAGGTCGAACAAAAGATAGGGTTGATTATGTCCTTACAAAGTTTCAACGTCGATGCATGTTGTTTATATGAGACCTGTACTGAATTCTCCAGTGAGGCACTACAAATATTCTCTCCATCTGTGGCTTGTAAAAGCTTGTTTCACGTACTTTTGTCCGGGGGCCCTGTGGAATCTCTCTTCTGGTTTTACTGACGCTGGCGTTATACTAAGCTCTAAGGCTGAGGCAGCACTAATCGACTGGATCCACATTAACAGTTGGTTACGTGTTGTTGGATTGGGGAGTCCCATCAAAGTAGCGA